CTTGAGCAGCAAATCAGCATATTAGAATGATTTCTGAAGGATCATGCGACATGTAATGATGCTGAAAATTCAGCTAACTAAAAACTCAACTAAAAAATAGTCACATTTTATAAACAAAATACAATAACTGCTTTCTATGCAGCAAATGGAGATTATGCACTGGTACTCTTGTGCTATTCCTGCAGTTCCTGGATGTGCCATGTTGAATATTCTGCCCAATTTGAACCACTGAATTTGTGGAAGCGAATATGTAAATACTTTGTCTGATGAATATTATAGGTTGTATTTTTAAAAAGACGGAATATTTTGGAAGTGAAGTCTGGAAGGTGAATATTAATTATTTTTAATAATGAAAGTTTGTGTCAAATATTTTGAATTTAAATGTTCACTAAATATACAACATTAAATATACAGCAGCCGTGTTAAATGCATTAATGCAATGGATTTTTTTTAATTAGCGCAATTCAACATTTTTTTTTTTTTTTTATCAAATAAATGTGGGTTTTGTGAGCGAAAGAGACACACTCATACATACAGTACATAGAACTTTTGTATTTTATATATTTTTTCTAATATATTTTACAGCTCAGCACCTAAGTATCGGGGGGAAAGGGCCTTTTATCTACACTGAACTATTATAATAATTGCTTTTTGGTATCTTTTGTTATTTTTTTGACATTGTCTGTGAATTATCTGATGCTGATAATTTGGCCACATACGTTTTATCTACATTTTAGTGACCGGAACATTCCTAAACTGGTCAACAAGTGCAGTTTTTTTTCCTGTTTTTCTTGTTTCCTTTTGAAACAGGAAGTTTGGGAAGGACAAATCAAATTCATTAAATAACATGATTTGTATAATAACCATTTAGTATGATTTGCTATTTGCCAGTTGGTTGCAGGTTGTATTTGTTGGAGGGAGATTCTTATTCTAGAGAGCGTCTGATTGGTCAAAAATCTGTGAAGTGCAAGATGAGTCATCAAAGATGTAAATCAGCTAAAAGCTTGTGAACATTTACAGTAGGAGTACACTGGCATAAAGATGATCTTCAAGCTACAACACATGGACTACAAGCCATGGCTTTAATGGCTCTACGCAGACAGCTTATTCGGTTTGAAACAGAGCCTGAACGCTGCAGCAGTGTGTGTGTGTAGTTAGACCTGTCCTCTCTTACTAGACGTATGGAAAGATGATTTCAGTGCAACACTGATTACATAACCCTCTGAACATTTATGAGGCAAAAGTAGCACTCATTAGCGAAGAGATGTGAGTGTGTTTTATGGCGTCCCTGTTAAAAATGCTGCATTAAATATCATTACCTTTCAAATAAAGTGCTTGTCCACAACCATCCATTACAGGGTAATTGAAGGTGAAAGTTTTTGGTCTGGCTATAGCTACAACAAGGTCACACTGATCAAGTAATATAGTCTGAATGCACTGTAAATCGCTTTGGATGAAAGCATCTGCCAAAAACATACTGTGCATGTATTTTATTTTCTTATGTTTTAACATTATGCATTATTCATTAAGAAAATGTTATGTATATAATTGAACTAAATGATATAACTGCCAAATATACAGTATATATATACAGTATATATATATATATATATATATATATATATATTAGAGTCTCTTGTGAGCTCTAAAAATGCATCTTCAACATGTATAATGTCTTCAGTATGTGAAATATTAGTATTCAAAATATCCTTGAGTCTGTTTGGCTTTTCTGCCCATTTATACATTTAGGTAATCTTAGGATAACAGCTGTGTTTTTATTCAGAGACGTTTCTATGGGATTCATCAGAAACTTGTTTTTCTATTACGGCTTCTGAGCTTTTATCATCAGAGCTATTGCGGCGAGCAGAAACACTCTCAGGAATTTCTCTCAGATCTTTCCATGAAAAGACTGCGAATCGCAAAGTCAGACACCAAGAGATGCTCGAGACTCTTACAGCTTGTTCAAGGACTTATCGCTGTTTGAGATTCACTTGGAAAGATAATAATCTAATAAGCAAAGGTCTGTGACAAATTTAACTAGAAATGCAAAAAAGCCCACAAATTCATCCTCTCTGAAAAGACTTCTATCATTTAGTACATTCTCACCTTGATTACTTCCATTGCATTTGGCAGAAGTCTATCTTGAGCTTTCATACGCATACCTAGAAGTCACATTACTCACATTAAAAGACCTGGGCAAGCAGACAGTTAATTAAAATGCTGTTATGTTCTTCACATATACTGCTTAATCTTCCATTCACTTCTATGAACACATAATACAGCCTCAACACAGCCTCTATGTGTTGTTCCCAAGAAAAACCCTCTAACATTTGGTTTAAATAAGCTCTTTGACTCCCTGACCTAAGACATAAAAGACCCTTTGTTCAGACCCCATTTATGATCACAGATTAAGCCTGGATGTGGATTCAACAATAATTTTACTTCGAAAATGTTTGAGTTGGATTTGCGTCCTAAGAACAGACCCATGGATATTTAAAGGAATAATTCACCCAAAAATGAAAATTAGCTGAAAATGTACTCACCCCCAGTCCATCCAAGATGTAGATTGTACAGTAGTTTGTTTCTACAGAATTACATCACTTGCTCACTGAATGGGTGCCATCAGAATGAGAGTCCAAACAGTTGATAAAAACATTACAATAAGAAACAAATCCATCATTAAGGTGTTTTTACTTTAAACCATTGCTTAATTATGAGTACCTATACAATGTTGCTTTCTCCAGTGAAAAAGTCACCTTGTACGAATCAGGAGAGAAATATGCACAGATTAAGCACTGCGTACAAGCAAAAACAGTTCTAAACAAATATGTGGGTGGATATGTTGATGTGAGAGGACATTTGAATGGACTTTTTCATTGGAGGACACAATATTATGGATTATGGACTTATATTTTAGATGAAAGTGACAGTTTAAAGTTAAAATGTCTTGATTGATTTGTGTTTTTTTACAAACACAGAGCTTTTCGTTTTACAAGACATTAACTGATGGACTGGAGTCATGTGGATTACTTTTGTATTATTGTGATGTTTTTATCAGCTGTTTGGACTCTCATTCTGATGGCACCCATTCACTGCAGAGGATCCATTGGTGAGCAAGTGAGGTAATGCTAAATTTCTTCAAATCTTTTCTGATGAAGAAACAAACTCATCTACATCTTGAATGGCCTGAGGGTGAGTACATTTTCATCTAATTTTCTTTTTTAGGTGAACTATTCCTATAAATACAGGTAAACCAAGCTTCATGTTGTGCAAACTACATGCAGTATAATTTTCTAATAAAGCTATTTGACTGACTGCTCTTTTACGTCTGAAAGTGAAATGAAGGTAATGGTTATCAAGCAGCAGAAAAGCATAAAAGACCATAAAATTAGTTTTAAGTTGTATATTAAGGCAAAGCCCATAATTTAAATTAAAAAAAAACTTGCCCTCTGCCCTCAAATTTCCTTAATGTGGTCTGCATGTTTCACACCTTCTGGCACTGCCGTGCAACTATTTAAATTAGATTTTTACACACCCAACTATTAACTGCAGTATCAGCAAAGGAAGTCCATGACACCCGGAGAGCGCTATCCATTAGCATTCCCATTCATCTCAATGGCAGTCAATGTGTGTGTTTGTGTTCATTTCTGTGAGTCAATGTGCCTATAAAGACATCTGAAATGTCATCTCCACAGTCTCCAGATAATTAGCGTTCAGCCTGTCACACTGACCCTACCATGAGGCGCTACCTGGGAATTTACGTCACTATCTGGTTTTCAGAATGGAGCTTACTGAATACTGCACAATGTACATATACCGCATACTACCTTTAAAAATAGCATGAGAAACAGAATGCAGTATACAACAACAAATATGTCAAACGGTACCCTGCTGTGGTAGAAGAACATTTGCACCACAAAATAACATGCATGCTTGTATATCTTTATCAGGTCTGTTTCTGATCATTTATCTATAATGATGTGTTTTTGACTGTATGAAGAAATACTTGATGAATCTTTAGTGTTTCTTGTTGGATACTACTCTGTAAATCAAAACACTTTTCTTGCAATTTTTACATTCTGAAAGTAGAGCAGATATATGCTTTAAAATGAACTTTAATGCAAAACACTGGAGAAGGTTTAATACTTAATTAAAACAAACTATTTTCCAATTATACTCCATGTGGTCCATTCTCTCATTGACATTATGCAAGGAAATTAAAAAGCAAACTATTTGCATTTTAATATCTGTATATTTAATAACACAAGGCATGATGGGATGGCCCTGAGTTATGTTTGTACCATACAGATCCTGTCTGTCAATGCAGACTTTCAAACCGCTTATTCAGCGAGATTTACATAGCGCTGCAGATAATAAACATTCATGCATGACTGCAGGACAAAACAACAAAATGTTCACCCAGATTCCTCAGAGGCACAATGGCCTCGAGATATAATTCTCTGAACCTATTGTGAAAATATTATGGTGAATAAAATTAGACTGATTTGTTCAAAAAGTGCATTTAGAATTTGAATAAGCACCAGATGCAAAACTAAGCAACTGTTCCAAAACCCAGTGAACCGCTTTAAAGAAGAAGAAAGAAATGTTTCTTGAGCAGCAAATCAGCAGAATGACTTCTGAAGGATCATGTGACACTGAAGACTGGAGTAATAATGCTGAAAATTCAGCTTTGCATCACAGGGATAAATTATATTTTGAAACGCATTCAAACAGAAAACAGATATTTTAAATTGTAATAATATTTCACAATATTACGGTTTTTACCGTATTTTGATCAAATAAATGCAGCATTTAAATTAGCATATAAACCATTTTTAAGTACATTCGGCTGCCATCTTGGATAGATTTGTTCTTATTGAGCTTGTTGCAGTGCATTATGAGATTGCCTTCTACGTGAATGCGGATGCTGTCTTAGAATTGGGCCAAAACAGTATCTTAGTTGGTGCATTCATGCATATGCTGCCTTAAAATGCTGTCTACATAAGCAGCTCACTAGGTTTTGGAATAGAGAATAAATCTGAGACTGGCCATTTAGACCATGATGGTTTATTTTGGAAAGACTACAAATCTACAATGGCGTGCTGTTGCATCTTTCTAGTCCTCTAAGTCTAAACACTCTTGGCTCTGAGGAAATCTCCTCAGGTAGGGACAGGGCAGGGTTGTCATACCACTGTTCGGTTTGTTTCTTTGACTCTGGCTTGATGTTTGTTGTGTCTGGAGTCACGACAACCACATCTGGGTCATTAAGTCGAGCCGGGCTGCAGCACAGCACCGTTGTTTTGGTAATGAGCTTGTCGAGCGGTTTGAGAGAGTGCATCCACTGCGGGAGAAAGTCCCAGCTGCGCAGTGTCTTCGGCAGGTGCGTGGGACTGTGGGACTGCATCAGGTTGACCAGGAGGATGAAGATGGTGAGCGCGGCGAACGGCGCACCCACGCCGACCATGGCCTGCCATCCGGCCAGAGAGATGCCGAACACGAGGCAAGGCAGCAGCAGAAAACACACCAGAAGGTAAAGCACAGCAAACCAGCGGTACTTGGCAGTGCATTCGCCCAGCGCAGACGCCATACGGATGGGCAGACGAGTGAGCGGGACTGGATACCACAGTAAAATCCCAAAAATATTGAAGTAAAAATGGCACAAGGCAATCTGGAGGGAATATGAGAGTAGAAGAATAAAGCAAACTAGATTTTTCACTTATGTGAGTGGGGGCTGTTAGATACGGCTTAGGTCTGTTTTTAAATATTCAGTACTTGAAATTTTTGTAACATGCTTAAATATTAATATATAGCATTATCGATTTGACCACAGTGATTGGATAAGAACAAAGCTTGAACTAATTTCAGCAGGATGATGAAACTATTGTCTTCTGTACACTGCAACTCCTTTTCTTAGTATTTTTGTCTTTTTCCAGTACAAACATCTAAACATTATCAGATCAAGATACATTTATTTAAGAAACCAAATTATGCAAGACATTAAGTCTTGTTTTCTGAAAAAATGTATTAAAATGTAGTGAGTTTAATCTTAAAACAACAACAAAAAATCAGCCAATGGAGAAAAAAAAAAATTCAAAAGGAAAGCTAGTTTTTTTTTTCCCCTATTGGCAGATATTTTTTCTTATTTGAATCATAAACTTTTCAGAAAACAATAGTTAATATCTTCTGTCATTTTCCTTTTCAAGATAAAGTATCTTGATTTAAGAATGTTTAGATGTTTGTACTGGAAAACGAGACAAAAATACCAAATAAGAAAATAGCTTTTTAACTGCTTTTTAACCAAATTGAATTGGTTTACAAATGTCCATATGTTTATTAATGCCTCATATCTTACGAAGTGGTCAGTGGATGAGACTGAATATTTATTAAATATTTGTTTAAAAAAAAAAAAACTCTTCTGACATAGATGTTAGCTTTCTTTTTAGGCACCAAGACAAAAATGACAATTATACTAGACGATTGTAATACATGTAGTGCACATGTGAATCACACTGCATTTAGGGTTCATATAAACACATCTTTCAGAATCTGAAATTGGATTAGATTCATTCTGACTGAGGATAATTAGTGCATGTAAACATACCCAATGTAAGTCTATAAGACTTTTTCTTGAGAAGTAACAGTACACCTCTTTTCAACATGCTAAACAGTTTTAGTTATTCATGACATGATTCATAAACATATGATGCAGAATGTGTTAAGCTCTGAGTTCAATACTTGTGTTCAGGGATCTAAACAAACCCCAAATCTTCAGTATGACTAAGCAAGAACCACTAAAAAAATGAGTAAACAAATGCATTAATGAAGAAAATGCCATGTGTCCAGAAGATACATTTTCTTCATCATCCAGTTGGAAAAGCAAGCAGATTTGCCCTGAATTTTTGATAAGGTGCAATCATTTTAGAAAACTGAAATTTCCACTGAGTGCTCAGTAATGGCTGTGTGTCATTGTCGTACCTGGCATGCAGCAGGAAGCTTCTCTCTGGGGCTGGCGAGAGCTGCAAGGATGGCCGTGGTGGTAGTGCCAATGTTGGAACCCAAGGTCAAAGGATACGCTCTATTGAGACTGATCACGCCAATGCCTGCAGGAATCAGAGACAGATATACAGGAATCAAATGTTTTTTGTCCAAGCAATGATATGAAGCATGTATGGAACTGTCTTTTGGTTTGAGATCTAGATATTTGAAACCAACTTACAAAACGGATGATAGGGTATCAGCTGTTTGTGAAACTGGACTCCATAGTTAATGAGATGCAGCCCTTGTGACAACATAATATTTTCTAATGTTTTCGAAATATGTGTTTTATGCTTACTAAGGCTGTATTTAGTTTTTCAAAAATACAGTAAAAACAGCAATAATGTGATATATTTTTACAATTTAAAAGAACTGTTTTCTATGTGAATATATTTTAAAGTGTAATTTATTTCTGTGATGCAAAGCTGAATTTTCAGCATCATTCTAATATGCTAATTTGCTACTCAATAAACATCTTATGATTATCAAGGTTGAAAACAGTTGTGCGCCTTCATATTTTTGTGGAAACCATTATACTTTTTTTCAGAATTATTTGACAAATAGAAAGTTTAAAAAAAACAGAATTTTATTTAAAACAGAAATGTCTTTAACATTATAAATGTCTTTACTGTCACTTTTGTTGCTGAATAAAAGTATACAGTATCTTAAATACTGTATATATACACACACACATAATTATAACATTTATACGCAGCAGGAAAATGTAAAAAAAAACTAACTACAGGGACATGTAAATGTTCTCCTGGAACGAGCTGTGAGGTCACATGGTTTCTGTCCCTTTGTCAGCGCTGATGATCTTTTAACCCTCTTTCCACTATTAATAATACGTCCAGTGACACTTCAACTTTTCAGGGGCTTTAATAAAAGATGATCTCCATAGTAACTGTAATCTCGAAGACACAGAGGGATCCCCATTGGCTGAAAAGTTAATAATTATCATAATCATGCGGCAGCCGATGAATCATTTCCAGGTAATGGGTGTAAATTAATGATGAAATAATTGAACGAGAAAGCACCATCATTTTGCCTGATTTCACAGAGGTGCAGTTAATATTTAATTTGAGCCAAAAGCACTATTAGCGACTAGTTCACACTCACATTTGCTCTACATTTGAAGAAAACACCAGGGTGTATCAAAAATTAAAGTTTAATCAGAACTGCTGATTATTTCTGTTCATTATTTTACAGCGAAACAAAACAGCTGAATTGTCACATGGTTTTATTAGCATGTAAAATGTAATGCATCATGTAAAAAAAATAATAACGTTTGATCCTGGGACTTATTGCAAAAGTTTTCTAGCTTCTTTTTAAGTGTTTGCACATCGAACCATGAAAACACAATACCCTAGACAGATTTCCACAGCCGTCTCAAACTTCATTTCAGTGATCTGAAAAATGCAATAAATTCTGCTGGTTTTTGTTTACTTGACTGTTTCACTCTCATTTTTTACATTCCTGGCATACAGTATAAATACACAAAAAGCCTTTTTGGACTCGGGTGGATGCATTATTAATGTGTTTCAGAGCAATCTTGTGCTGCTGCCTGCTGGTCGTCTCATTCATGCGATGTCAACAATGAGCTTTTGTCGGCAGGGTCACTTCTAAACCAAGGATCTGTTGAAGAAGTCATTCATTAGAGATTTACCTATGAGTGGAGTCAAGGCCGAGGTGAAAACAGAGCTGCTCTGGATGATAAAGGTCATTCCTGCTCCAATCAACATGGCCAGATATCCTGACAGCCAGCCGAGAGGGTACGGGAAATCTATATGGAGTTAAAAATAGACACAAAAGAGACAGCTGTTGATGTACAGTAAGAGCATAGGGCTGTATGCCTATACAAAACAAAAAATGGCAAAAGTTACAAATGAATAGAGGTGTGACGGTACACAAAAATGACCGTTTGATATGTACACTACCAGTCAAAAGTTTTTGAACAGATTTGTAATGTTTTTTTTAAAGAATTCTCTTCTGCTCACCAAGCCTGCATTTATTTGATCCAAAATACAGCAAAGCAGTAATATTGTGAAATATTTTTACTATTTAAAATAACTGCTTTCTATTTGAATATATTTTAAAATGTCATTTATTTCTGTGATCAAAGCTGAATTTTCAGCATCATTACTGCAGTCTTCAGTGTCACATGATCCTTCAGAAATCTTTCTAATATGCTGATTTGAGAAACATTTTTTATTATCATTATTATTATCATTATCATCATCATCAATATTTAAAACAGTTGAGTAAATTTTTTTCCAGCTTGGTGAATAGAAAGATCCAAATATCAGCATTTATCTGAAATAAAAAGCTTTTGTAACATTATACACTATACCAT